CCCCCCTCTTTTTCCAGAACATTCCAATTTCGTTTAAACCAGGGTTCCCCAAATTGTGGACTCCCTTGTGGACTCCTGAACTGAGACAGAAATGGGTGCATTCAGCTGAGACCAATCTATATATCTTTGTAGGCTCTTTGTGCCCTCTTCCCAACTCACTTTCTTGCCTATCTTTACAAATTTAGCTACCATACCTTTGGTCCCTTCATCCAAATCATTCATATAAACTGGAGGAGCTTAGGCCCCTGTACCAACCCCCTAAGGCACATCACACAGCAAAATATTTCAATATTCATATATGGAGCAAATTGTACAAGTGAGGACATAAACACTGACGCAAAAGTCGTTGGAACGTTTGCTCTATTTTCTACAGAACTTACAGAACAGTTGAAAGCTGCTGTGAAAATTTAGTGAGCTCTGACATAAATCTGACAATTAAATCATTTATCAAGTTCCCTTCCTTGTCAGATCATGCAGGCACTTGATCATTGTCCCACCGTCCCATAAACAGATCAGGTTTGCACTCTTCCTTCTTTTCTTGAGACACATGCTGCCACTTTACATTCTTCTCCAGCACAACTAATAGAATAAGCTGCCCCTAGTTTGTCCATCGCCATTCCTTATAGTGACATCCTTATCTTCTGCACTGAACGGTCAATGCATGCAGCACAATGAGAGGCAGGAATTTCTGATCTTGGAAAGTAAAATCAGAAATTCAAACCAAAAATGTGCATAAATATTTTATTTCCTGGAACTACAGCAGCACAAGGTGGAAAGCAGGAAAGGTAGTGAGACACAAGCCATGGCACATTACTGTACAATTTCCTGAGGGCAAGTGATTTGTCACCATTCCACAATAGAAACAGCTGCAATTTTACAGTGATTTGGGGAAATAAGAACCAGTCAATATAGATCACTCAAGTTAAAGTGATCACATTGCACAAATCAAATTTAATTCCTTGTAAAACAGGCTTCATGGACATGGGCAATCTTATAAGATTAAGCAGAATATAGTTTTTAAGAGGATCGTTGATAACATCCTGTATAATGCTGAGAAAAATGATTAAGACTAATGAAATGAATTGGAAGTCAGCTAGATGGATTTAAAGCAAGAGCAACAGCAGCTAGTACATGACAAGATAAATGGATAAAATCTGGTTTTGAAAAGTATCTCAGAAATTCCACTGTTCTTCAATCAAATTAAAGTAGAAGAATGTTATCCACAGCGAGGAAGTGCCCTGATGCCACTAGATAAATACCCAGCTCAAAAGCAAAACACAATTAAAAGGAATCTTGCCTTTTAGCATTAATGGCTAAAGCAATGTTTGACAGATTTTCATGTGGAAAAATGCAAATATATTGCACAAAAGGAGTAGGAAACTGGTCAAGAAACGAAGGAACATGTCGACACAAAGATGGAATAGGATTAAAAAGAGTGGCTGATGACAAAAGCTTTCAGTCAAGACATACAAGAATGGATGGGGTTACACATTAAAGGCTAAAGAAGAAATCTGGTTAATCATTGTATCATGACCAGAATCAAAGTCAATACGTATCAATCTATGCATCAGAAAGCTAGCTGTATATACTGCACTTGTAAATTCATCTGTAGAAAACTGTGTCCCTGTGTTCAAGCGGAAAAATTAAAAAAGTTCCATCCTGTATTACAGAAATTCCCTGATAATTTATAGATTGTGCCATTGTGCCATTTCAGGGCACAATCTGTGGAACACATGAGAAAACAAAGCAGAAAAGAATATACATAGGCAAAGAGAAGAAAATCACATATGAACAAGAGCAGGCCATGAGGCTCTTCAAGGCTCCTCCACCATTCAATAAAATCATGAACGATCTGATTTTAACCTCACATTTTATTCCTGCATATCCTTGATCTTTCATTCCCTTGGTAATCAATAATTTCTCTACTCTGCCTTGGAACTGTTTAAAGATTCTGCATCAACTGCCTTTTGAGGAAGGGAATTCCAAAGACTCTCAAACCTCAGAAAATGTTTCCTCACCTGTCTTAAATAAGCAAATTTTATTTTTAAACTTTAACCTCAAGTTCTAGATTCTACAAAAGGAAACATCCTTTTCATTGTCAAGAACCTCAGGGTTGCCTTTCAATCAAATCACCTCTTACTCTTCATAATTCCACAAGATACAATCCTAGCCTCCAACTGCTGAAGTCCCCTCCAAATCTTATATTTCAATTAAATCACCTAACTCTAAATCTGAATCCCAGAAAAAAAACAGCCTGTCCAATTTTTTTCTCATAAGGCAATCCAGGTATAAAACCGCCTGACTACTTCTAATGTATTAGCATCCTTCTATAAGTACAATGACCTGTACTATATGCAGCAATCCAGACATGGTCTTGCTAATGCCCTGTATAACTGCAACATAACCTCGCTCCTCTTTTATTCAATTCCCCTCACGATAACATGACATTCTATTAACTGTCCTAATTACATGCTGTACCTGTATATGAATTGCAGAAAATTAATATATTAAGACACCCAGATCTCGCCACTCTGAAACCTGCCACCATTTACATAACATGCTTCTTTTTTATTCTTTCTGCTAAAATGGACAATTTCTCACTTTCCCACATTGTACTCCATTTGCCAGATCTTTGCCCATTCACTAAACCTATCTATATATCTTTGTAGCTTCTTTATGCCCTCTACCCAACTCACTGTCCTACCTATCTTTACAAATTTAGCTGCCATACCTTTGGTCCCTTCATCCAAATCATTTATATAAATTGAAGGAGCTTAGGCCCCAGCACCAACCTCCTAAGGCATGCCACAGGTGACATTTTGCCAGCAGAAAAAGACCCATTTATTCCCACTCACAGCTTCCTGGTAGTCAGCTAATCTTCCATCCCTGTTACCCCAACACCATGAGCTTTTAATTTCCACAATAACCTTTGATATGGTACCTTATCAAATGCCTTCTGAAAATCTAAGTAGAATGCATGCATTGGTTTCCCTTTATCTACAAATTACTTTTTCAAAAGAGATCCAATAAATTAGTTAAATATGATTTCCTTTTGACAGAACCCATGTTGCCTCTGCCTGATTACCTTTAACTTTCCAAGTGCCCTGTTATAACTTTTTTTAATGATAACTTCCAACATTTTCCCGATGACAGATGTTAAGCTAACTGGTCTGTTGTTTCCCCCTTTCTACCTCCATTCTTTTTTGAATAAAGGAGTTACATTAGTTATTTTCCAATCTAAAGGAACCTTTCCCAAATCTAATGAGCTTTTAAAAATTAAAACCAATGTGTCAACTATCTCATTGGCTACTTCTTCTAAAACGCTAGGATGAAATCCATTAGGATCTGTGGACTTGTGAACTTGCAGCTCCAACACTTAGTATTACTTCCCCAATAATTGTAATTTTGAGTTCCTCACTCTCTTTCAATTCCTGTCTTACAACTATTTTGGGGATGCTACTTGGATCTTCTTTGGTAAAGGCTGACACAAAATTTCTGTTCAATTTGTCTGCCATCTTCCTACCCCCAATTACTGATCTCCCAGACTCAGTTTCTATATAACCTGATAACTTTGTTAACTGTTTTCTTGTTCTATATATTTTCGTCTAACTTTCTCCCAATTTTCCCTTCTTTCTACTCTATTAATAATTCATCATTTGTTTTTTATACTCTGTCCAATTTTCTGAGCTGCCACCTATCTTTGCACAATTAAATGCCTTTTCTTTGAGTTTGTTATATTTGACTTTTTCTATAAATTTAACTGCAGATGGCATTTCTGTCCCTCTGAATTTTTATTTGTTGGAATGTATCTATTCTGCACTTTCTGGAATATCCCATTAAATATTTTCCACTACATCCTTAACCTTAATTGCCAGTTCACTTTTGTTAGCTGTTTTCAAGCCCTCATAATAGCCCTGGTTTAAATTAAAAAGTCATTTGGACCCATTCTTTTCTTGCTTGGACCCAGGCAAATTGCACGTAAAATTTAATTATATTATGGTCATTGCTACCCAGGAGCCCTTTAAATAAGAGGTCAGTGATTAATCCAATTTCATTGGTCAAAACCTGATCTAGTATATAGTCTGCTCTCTATCTGAAGCAATGATATGCTGGTCTGAGAAACTGCGCTGAAAACATTAAATGAATGTTATCTAAACACAACAAGCTACATTTAGAGTCCTTCTCACCAAGTGTTCAGAGAATTTAACATGGAGATAGAGTCGGGCAAAGGCCAAGAATGATTTTTAAGGTAAAACTTTAATTCTTGCCCAATCAACAGTATCTGAGGGGGGGAAACTGGCTTCAACAACAACAGTATCTACTGAATCATTAATTGGCATGCCTCAAAGTAATAAGCCATCTAATTCCACTGCTGGGAAATGAAGTGCAGATAGAGTATGTAAAGAAAGAGGAAGACAGGCTGATAAAAAAGGAAACAAATCAATCATATTCATACTAATCCAGGAAGCCATCAATTCAAGCTACAGAGGCTTAAGTATAAGCTTATGACCGTCAGGAGGAAAACAGAAATTTGGGAGCGTTGGGGTAAATGTGCCTGGTTTTTGTTCTAAAATTAGGAAGAACTTCAAACCAAATAAAGAGTCAAAAAACCTCTATGTAAACATGCAAATTAAAACAGTAACTTGAATCAGAGGGCTTAGAAGATAGTTATGATTAAACTCTCTCAAATTTAAAGCAGAGCTGCGAAAATCGTTTAACAATAACTCCATTTGGAGTCAGCATTTCAACAAGAACTTCAAGCTCAAGGAACAGAGTGAGTCATGGCATTTAGCTTTATTTTTAAAGACCTATTATTTCACTGAATCGTGTGTTGAAAGAATGGACAGTGAAGCTATGTCCACCATTTAAAAATTAGAGGTAGGAATTCTCAGAAGACTCAGGGAGAAGAACTTCAATGGTTGCTGCCTGTCACATCTTTGCAAAATGGAGAGATAAGAACCAGTTTAGAAACACATTGATTTTAGTTGTTTTTTTCTGGAATGACTGCAGTTCTTCAGAAAGCATGCTATTAAGTACATATAAACGAGCAGAGTGACATCAATTATATGAGGAAATCGATATTGGATATCCCTCCTGTAGTTCAGAGTATTAGTTGTCTTTATGCAGCATTAAATCAATGATTTTCGTCTGTTACAGTAAAAGTCTTAAATCCTGAAATCTTGTTGTGCGATTCGTTTAAGTTGGTCATCGGGAATTTAAATATTTCCTTCAAAGTTAATGACTTCTGATATCTCTGTAGAGATCATAAAATAAATAAGCCAGATATTTGCTGCTGTTGTGACAGGAAAAAACATGGTTAGCTTCAAAAGATATGTAAAATACCAATTCACTCACCTCAAACACCCTGCATCAATGATAGTATATCTTAACAGGATTGTATAACAAGCTTTCAACTGCTTGTAAAATGCAGTTTGACAACACAGATCGTATGTAACACAATGCCCAATTATGGAAAAGAGTGCTCTTACAAACATTATAAAAATTACACCAGATGGGTAAAAATTCACAAGAGAATCATTAGATACAGAAAGCATTTCAAATCAAAAGTTGAAAACTTCAGTCCTGCTTTTTAAACAATTACACATTTTTTAAGACAAAGGTTGAGTGAAGCTTTCTTACCATCGGTGCAAGCACAAAGTCTGTCTGTTCCAGAGCAGTACACCACTGAGATAAAAGGATCTAGTTCATTACTGCTCTCTTTCCTAGGTGGCTCCACATTAGCCAGAGTTTCAAAGTTTGAGAGATCTAAAATTTTAATAAATCCTCCCTGAGTAGTGACCACTAAGTGCCCCAGATTAGATGCGTTAGATTTCTTTTCCCTCACAATTCCGTTTTTTGAAGTCAAAGTTGCTTCATCTATTAATTCCTCACAATCATCTTCTTTATTATCCAACACATCTGGTGGAAGTAATATTAGTGAGGTAACCGCGTCTTGTGGATCTTTGATATGCTGGACTTTGACAGGTTGCTCTTCTAAAGTTACTATCCTTGTGCTGTAATTAATCTTATAAAGCAGAAGATAACCACCACTCAGAGTTCTTTCCTCAGGCTGAATTATGAGTGGACTTTTTGTGTCAGTTGGTGACTCTTCCTGAAGAAAACCAATATCTGCATTAATCCCTATGGTAAGGTTTGATTCTAAATCTCCTTTACTTCTATTACACAGTGCAGAGTTCAACTTATTTAAATTATTCAAGGCCTCTACTTGACTTATTGCACTCAAGGGTGTAACAGGACAAGTCCGTAGTCCTATCAAAAGATGAATTCCGTCAGCACAGGGCGTGATAGAATCAACATGGAGGTTCTCCTCTTCAGCAAACTTTGGCAGCCGCAGGCAATGGACTAGGGCACCAGGTTTTGGAACCAATGAACTCCATTTTTCAGAGTCTACAGAGGCAAGGTTAGCTGCAGCATCAGCAAACTGCTGAATGTAAGTCATAGGAGGATCCTGCAATAACAGTTGTTCCTGACTATCTAATTCCATTTCTATTATCTGTGGAACGGTGAAACCTTCATCATGTAAACTTTTATTCACAAGATTGTTCATTTGTGCAAAAACTTTATTTGCCTTTTCATCAGATTCTTTAATGCTATAAAGCAACAATAAAGGCAAGGTCCTTCTTACTGATGGTGAACTCAGTTCTGAGTTACTGCAGGATTCATTGTCCATTGTCACTTGCTCAGACACATTTTCACCTTGAGTCCTGCTTAAAGAGTCCAAAGATCTCCGTGACTGACTACTAATAGGAGAAGCAGCAGCAGATTTGTAAGATAATAAAACTCCTGCTAATAAACATGGATAGGGAATGTTGTGCTGCTCAGCATGTTTTTCCTTAGTTTTTTCACTCTTATTGTTGACAGTGGATGTGTTTCCACCCAGTTCCTCCAGATCTTTAACTGTGTCCTCAATTACATTTGCCACTATTTCCCATTGACGCTTTTCAGGCTGCTGAAGAATACTCAATGTGGTTACATCTATGCTAACATCCATGTTGCACTCCTTCTGTGATGTATGCCCTAATAAAAATAAGATAAACATTTTAGAATATTAAAATGAAAAGTTTGCTGATTCAACACAACTGTGACTATTGCCCAAACAGAGAACTATTACATTATTTCATTCTTCAAATCTGGTGTTAACATGATTTCTGAAGACTTTTGTCTCCCTACAGTAGAAATTGTGTAATTCCACTAATAGCAGCAGTTGACAACACATGTCCTATTATTCCGTAAAACGTGCACCATGTACCTTCACTGCCTCATCTTTCTGTGGCCAATAAAATTAATTCTGCACGTTCATAACGTAGGAAATGCAGCTGCAAACTTTCATACAGCAAGTTCTCACAAACAGCAACAGGATAAATGATCAGATAATGATACAGATCAGAACATCCATGTCCTTCTTCGAACTGTGCTATGGAATCTGTTTTGTCGACCTGAGGGGGACCTTGAGCCCTGTACTGTCTCATCAAAAAGCTGGCGCTGTCAGTACAGAGCATGCTTTCTTCAAGACTTCCCTATAGTGACAGCCTGGAATATGTGCCCAAGTCTGTGAAATGGGGCTCAAACACACACTCCAACTTTAGGATGAGTGTATTACTAATGGTCACTTCTGACACCTTAGGTCATGGGATAAAGTTGGCTGTAGATTCTCAAATAACAAGGTGTAGAGCTGGATGAACACAGCAGGCCAAGCAGCATCAGAGGAGCAGGAAAGCTGACGTTTCGGGCCTAAGGGTCTATTCCCGAAACGTCAGCTTTCCTGCTCGGCCTGCTGTGTTCATCCAGCTCTACACCTTGTTATCTCAGATTCTCCAGCATCTGCAGTTCCTACTATCTCTGTAGATTCTCAATGTGTGGAGTAAAACACATCAGCTTGGTGTCATTGATAACCACAAAGTTTGACATGATCAAGAAAATTGTGACTGTTGCTTGGGTTTCTAATTTACATCTGAGGTAATTAAAACTAACTTTATCATTATGAATGTTTATTTTCCTTCTACCCTAGTTACATTCCCAGCTCCAGGCATCATAATTCTCATGACATAGTACATAACATGGTTGCTTTCTAAACAATTAGCTCTGATGTTCTGAAATCAAACAACATTGACGTGTGCTTGATAATGCCGGATCAACATTAAGGAAGTACTAGTAAGGAGATGGCTGAAAAGTTTTCATCATGATCATACCTGTTGCCGAATCTGTTCTGGAATGCTCTTCACTATCAGAATCTTCCAGTTGATCATCACTATAATAAAAAAAAAATTTTGATGAAACATATGTAACATGACCTACAACATGAAATTTTCCAGCAGCTGGAATATGTCAAACTGAAGCAATAATTTAGAAAACAAATTGAAACTTTTACTATAATTAGCTCATTACCTGTCACCTTCTAATTTTGGTATATCAGAACAACTGGAAGAGTCTTCCAACCATGCCAGGGTTGGCCTCCGGGAATCACTACTTGGCCCATGTTCTACCTCAGGTATAGAGATCTGCCTCAAAATTGCTGCGTCATATGGGTTGATGTCAAATTTCAAATGAACCTGGATTTTAAAAAACATGATAAAAAGAGGATGTCTGACGTGTACAAACCGAACGACACAATCTGGGGAAACAGATTCAATCAATCTACAAAGTGGCAGAATATAGGCTCTTGGAAACAAATCTCCCATGTTGTGAAATCATTGGAATGTACATACAAAGCCACACACACATTCTCCCAAAAGAAATTAATGTCAACATGAATCCTTTGAGCAGCAGTCTCAGTCACAAGGGCAGAGGCTTTGGAATAGGACACCCTTCCTGTCAAAGATGACGTACAGCAACTTGAAAAGGGAAAGAAAGTACCTTTTAAAAAGTCTTTAAAAATGTAACGCACGCTTTTGTTTTGGTCTTTAATGGTTTGCTTCAGGTTCAAGGACACACAGGACGATGTACCTTTCGTGGAAATTGTCCATGAAATGTGGCTTCATTTGTAAATATTCATTTATTTGCCATTTCCAAATTCCTCAGTCACATCAAGTTACTTACTGAGGGTATACAGACTGATCTTTGTAGACATTGACATTCTACTGAAGAAAATATACAAAACTGATAATAAAATGGAGCCTTTTAAAACCATAGAAACAAAGCAGTAGGCCACTCGCTTCATGAAGTCTAATCTAGCATTCAAACAGAAACAAAATCATCTACTTCCACCATTTTCTGCTTCCTTGATTCATATATACAAATTAAGAGCTGGAATAGACCATGGCCTCTCAAGCCTGCTCTGCCATTAAAATAAATCATGGTTGATCTGATTACTCTACATTCTTGCCAACCCTGATAACCTTTCACTCCCTTGCTTTTCAACAATCTATTTCAACCTTAAAAATATACAAAGATTCTCTTTCTCAAAAGGTAATGGAAGCTGAGCTTCAAAGAGAGAGAACCCACAGAGAAAAAAAAAAATCATGTTTTAAAAGTGCAAAACCTTAACTTTAAGCAGTGACTCCAGTCCTCATATCTCCTACAAAAGGAAACATCATTTCTAAACCAACCCTGTCAAGACCCCTCAGGTTTGTGCTTTAATCAAATCACTTCTTACTCAATTCCACCAGATACAAACCTAGCCTGTCCAACCATTCCCAATAAGTCAACTACCCATTCCAGCTCCTGGTCCAGTAAGTCTTCTTTGAACTGCTTCCAATGCACTTTTATCCTTCCTTAAATAAGGATACCAATACTCCAAGTGAGGTTTCACCATGCCCTTCTAACCTTCCAGTGCTGATGTCAACAATTTCTACATGTGAACAACTGAGCTAACACTGGAGAAGAAGCTAATGTGGGTTAAGAAATAGTAAGAAGGAAGAGGAAACTATGCATCGTCTGGTAAATGAAATTTATTTCATGGGAACTGTGTTCCTCTTCAGCCCCAACTTCATGAGAAAATGGAACTGTTGCAAATTGTACCGATGATTGCAAGGCAATAAGTTTCAACAAAACGTCTTCTTTCAGCAATACTCAAGTCCTATACTCCCGACAAATACGAACACCTGCATGAAAGTTAATTGCCTGGCTACATTTGTACCACTATGCCACCAATCACTTGTCGAGACCCTTCTCAACAGCCAATTACATATTTTCCAGTCAGCATGAGAAGTCCTTCGGAAGAACAAACATGTAGTGACAATAAAAAAAAAATCAGGCGTTCACTAAATAAAGTAACAAGTACCTTCATCATTTTAGATACATCCCATATACAGATCTTTCCACGCCTGGTTGATGCAGCCAAGAAATGAGGACAACTTCCAAAGCCAACACATGCTATTCGGTCAGGAACATCTATGCTGGGAAACTGTGCAGGACTTGTTGCCAATGTTATTGACAGTGGCACATTTTGCGTGTGTTCACCTTTCACAAATGGACAATTAGGAGAATGCCGTTCATGTTCTGACCTATGTTGCATAAAAAACATTTGATGTTGTGGAGACTAAGGACAAAACAGGCAAAGCCTTCATTATCTCCTAAACACGATTTTATGAAACTTTAAAGTTAAATCTCAATACAAGTATTCATTAACATTGAAGCAGCACTATTGCCTTTCCACAAGGCACAAATTCAATGAGAAATTCTGGAACCGACAGTCCATGCAGATTTAACGCAAATCTTTTTTTTTTAAAAAGCAGACAGATAAAATCTCAACTATAACAGAATGCATGTGTTTATTACCCCACTACACTCCAATTACAAAGCGACCCAGGCTCAGAGAATGGGCCTATCATGCCATTTAAAACTACCATCCTTGATCCAGCTGGCAACAATAAAACCATCACCGTTACCCAGGACGACGGGATCCGAGCCAGCATGATGGTGGCTGGTCTCAGTAAACTGCGGCCAGCGGTATACCCTGGCGTCAGGGCCACTAGCATTTGGCAAATCCGACGGCAGGGGATGGGTAAGGGGGTGGTGTTGGTGGGTGGGGGAACATTGATGATCTCCCTGTTATTTCACCGAGTGTGCCCGGCACCACACTCGTTGCTCTGACCACACACTCTTAGATGCAGCATTCAAGTGGTGCTCAGTTGGTTTTAAATCTTCCTGATCTGGCAAAGTGACTATCATTTTGAAGTTGAGAAAGCTGCTTGAAAAGCCGCTGTGGCTTCTCGAGGTCAGTAAATAGAGGCGTCGAGCACAAATCGAGGGTGTATTGCCAAAGCCTGGATGGCCCCCCTGTTGGAGTATTATCTCCAATTCTGAGCACCAGACTTTAGGCAGGAGGTCAAGGGCTTGGAGAGGGTTTAGAGGTTTATTCAAATTGTTCCAATGAAATCAAATGCAAAACTAGGTGGTTATGTTTCACTTAAACAAGGCATTGGTGAGATCACATCTGGAGAAACGTGTGCTGCTTTTAGCTCCTTATTTTGGAAGGATGCAAATTTGGTAGAAGCAGTTCAAAGGTTCATTCTAGGAAAAATAAACAAACAGTGAAATTCACAGCTGACCTTGGAGAAACCTGTACAGAGGAGCTCACAGCAGGGGAGCAATGGCTTTTTAAAGTGTCATTGGACGCTGAGGGTTGATCTTATAGAAGTTTAAAAAAATCACGAGGGGCATGGATAGGATAAACAGCCAATATCCTTTCTCCAGGGTATGGGAGTCCAAAATTAGAGGGCACAGGTTTAAGGTGAGAGGGAAATGATTTAAAAGGGACCTACGGGGCAAATTGTTCACGTAGAGGGTGGTGTGTGTTGAGGAGCTGCCAGAGGTAGTGGGGGAGGTTGATACAGTTACAACATTCAAAAGACATCTAGATGTGCACATGAATAGCAAGGGTTGAGGGGGATATGGGCTAAATGGGTCTAGATTAATTTAGGATATCTGATCGACATGGACGAGTGGGACTGGAGGGTGTTTCCGTGCTGTACAGGTCTACGACTCTAATTCTTTAGAAATTCTGCAGCAAGTCCAGCATCTTGATTTCATCCACTTTGCACAAGTATGGTGCACCTTACTTACCAAGGTTCATCTGTGGGCTCCCAGCACACCAAGCAAACACTACACGTAAAACACATGGCCCGGTCATCACCAGAGGAGGCTGGCTATTTTTAAAAAAAGGGATTCAGTCAGCTTATCTGATAATGCTTGCTTCAATTCCCAAAACCTTGAGACAAAATTAAATAATGCTTTACAAATACAGAGAAGGAGCCCCAAGCAATTCTTTCCTCATTAGTGGAAAGACATCAAGTGTAACAATAGCACTCAATACACACAGCAGAAACAAGAAACGGATCAACAGGACATTTTGATAAAATCAACTTTTTCACGATCCAATGATGAAATGCAAGGTTTGCTTCTCACATGTTGTTGTCATGATACACTGGTGAGTTCAGATGCAGAAACTAATCATCTCATGAATAAAGTTAAACAATTATTTTAATCTGTTGTCAACGTTCCTGGTACAAAATCAATATTTTCCACTTGATACTTTGCTACAAATACCAGAGTTTTTATATTTATGTAATTTTAATAATTCTGGTCATTATAATTCAAAAGGTATTGATTGCAAGCAAAAGCTACATAATTTTATAGTACTGGGAATGACTACTTCAGAACTTACTTGGTGATAGAATCCTGCCTGCGCCATAGGATCAGGTTGAGCCCATCTGTATCCAAGATGTGGCCAAGAGGTGAAGGTTTCTCGCCTGTTGGCCTCACTATACATTAGTGACCTAAATGGCAAATTAAAATTGTTTATATTGCAAAGTTTTATGGATAAAGCACTTGCCTTGCTGTTTGCTTTAACAGCCCCTTATTATGGACACAGTCGACAGCGGAAAAGAAGACATGAAGCACTTGCAATGCACAAGTCCACACTCTACACACAGTTCTCACTATTAGACAGAAACCTTGCAAATTGACTTACTCTCCATCTCCTAACCGCAAAGTATCCAACTTAAAGGAATCCTACAGAGAGACACATTTTCCTAAATCCAGTGCAAGGACCCAAATCTACTCCATCTCACAGTGACTGCCTACCTATTTTTCAAAGTTGATATATTTGTTGCAGTAGTATTCCACATCATTCCATGGTTATTACTGTATATTCATTGAATATATGAATAGACAATAAATGCAAGCCAGCAACACCTACGTCTACAAGCAAATTGGGAAAAAAAAAGGAACTAATGCAATTATTGTTTTAAATAGGTATTAGGGAAGTCCTTACTTAAAGTTCTGGTCAGGATCCTAAAAGTCACATTAGTAACTGAAACCACTAAGTGAAACCATGGGGTTAAAACTGTAGTTTATGTTCCGTACAGCCTCTTCAGCACAAGAAAAAATGTCAAAACTAATTGAATTCCTCTATGGGAAATGAAATAACTTACACATGTTTAAAAAAGAAAGAAAAATTACAACTTATTACCTGCAGCAACTCCTTTTCATCCGCTATCCTGCTTCCTGATCCTCAGGATTGCTGCAGACCTTCTCCACTCGTCAGCTCTGAGTTTTGGCCTCTTCTCCCAACCCTCTCACTGCTTCCCTCTCCTGCATTTCTGTTCAAGGTCCAGGTTCAGTTCAAAGGTAGAGCTCAGGTGTTGTGGAACTGCAAGTCCTGATGTTTCCTAAGTGTTGGTGCTTTTACAATCCTTTTGTTTAAGCAAAAATGCTCACACTTGCCACTTCCCCCACCTGAATCTACGAGTGAAGGCCTGGGAGAAGAGCAGCAAGACAGGTGCAGCTTCCAAAGTCATTTAAAATATTCCAGAAATAGTAAAAGCGCTAGCACTACTAATAATCAGGGCCTGCAGTCCCACAACATCAGACCAAATCTGGGTCTTGAACAGAAACACAAATCCACAAGAGGGAAGCAGCATGTGGGTCAGTGAGGAGATGGGGTTGGCAATTCAGAGGTTAGGAATGATAAGAGAGACCAGGAATTGGAAAGGCCATAGCATGGATGTTGGGGAGCAGGGGTAAGCACCTAATGGGTTATTATGTACTTAGTGACGTTCAATATGATCACAGGCTGCATTAACTTAGTGATGTTAAAGCGAAGTCATGTTAAATAGTCTACTTTAAATGAGGACACATTGTAATAAATAATGGAACAATGGTAGTTGTGATTGTGCCAGCTTCTTTTTTGGACAAGGCCAAAAGTAAAACAGGAAAGGAAGCTGAATGGGAAAAACCAAAAAACCTCTTTCAGCTTCCAAAGCTAGCAAACAAAATGAACTAACATACATGAATTTCATTCTCAATAAAAATTCTTGCCAAGCACTAGTCACTGCATGAATAATAAAAACAAAAAACCCATGTATAACAGTGCTTTATATATAGCAATTAGCATTCAGCACATGATCTGAATCGGTCATTTTATCTGTCCTTTGGTGTCTGAGATAAAAGTCGAAGTCAGTCCTGTATTTAACCGACAAGTAAAAAACATGCCTTGATAAGATTAGTCACTACATTCAGAATGCAGGTGATAAAGTAACAAAAACACATGGTAGCATTTATCCACTGTGCTTCCCCTTCTATTGACGTTGGAATCCAATTTCCATACCACACTGAATTAATCTTATGTTGACATCGGGATAAAAGTACTCAAAAGCTGATCCCCAAATGTGCTATACATATATATAAAAAAAACCAGAAGCCAACCCCAAATCCAGTTGCACTGTTTTATTGAAGAAAGAAGTGCAAATAGCAATGATTTCAATTGTCAATCTACCACAGAACATTGTGACAAAATGACAAAAATAATTGATTTGTTAAAACCACACATGTAGGTCATATCTTTGTCTCCACTCCTCTAAGTTATGAGAGTAATCACAGATTATTTAAGAGCTAAGCATGAACTTCAATTGTTTAATAGTTGAGTACTTAGCTAACAAAGCACATCATTGAATACAACATTATTAATTCATTCAAGAATGCAACATACTTAGTGGAAATTTAACATTATAAGTTAGTTCTATTCTAAGAACAGAAAATTATCACGTACCTGTCCACTGAGCGACCAGGGCCCACACCAAGTTCAGGTCGAGCACTTGGCAAGAGGTAGGATAGCCTATCCATTACAGATGAGGCTACGGACAGGGCAGAAATATTATGATTGGTCTTTTTCAACTCATTTACAATGGCACTGGCAACTGATTTCAGGATATGATGAGGAAGATGAAAAGTGACTGTTGCCCACTGTAAAAGAAAAGGACATATCTTACTGTAAACCCAGGAAAATAGATTCATAACATGGCTCAGTATTTCGCAAAAACAGAAAATTATTAATTAGCAGATATCTAAGTCCACTATCTGTCATAGTACCTGATCTCACCCAAGGAGTTGTTCAGGGATAGGGAGAACAGCAGGAGGACGATGGTCACAGGCTAACTACGTTTATAAGAGAAAACTAGTTAGGAGCAGCCAATTTCAAGATTGACTGAATCACTATGGATGACCCAGTATTACAGCTTTGTCATGTCAAATATGAAGAATGTCAAATAAATGTGGTCTTTCCAGCACTGCACATTACAAGAAAAACAGGAACAGTAATGCAGGAACAGTAATGGCTACAAATGCCTGAATAGTACCATGGCTCCCATCGGTCTTGATGCTACAGCTGCAAAAGGACAGTGTTATTATGATAAAAGGCAACTGCTTCCTAAATAGTGGTAATACTACACATGAAATTTCACTTACTCCATCACAGAACTTCAACTTAAGTGCCTTGACAATTGTCACCAAATTCTAACAACTGCTTGAAGGGACAGCTCAGGGGATTTCTACAAGTCAAAGCATTTGGCATAATTTCATTCTTTGAAGAAATTTACTGTAGTTTTCACAAACCTTTGCAACTTTATGATTTGCTGCTGTTTCATGTGAAGTATTTTGCAGCCCATCCTTCAATTGTGAGATAAACTGATCGTACCCTTCTATATATGATACCTCCACCTTCTCTAGACAAGCAGACAGCAATTGCTGGGCCTGTAAGTTAAAAAAAAAAAAAAGACGGTACACAAATAATAAAACAAGCCTGAGAGTCAGCAAAATTCAACTCTAGATCTGCAGAAAAAAAACCTACACAGATCACAGGAGAAATAAATACTGCAACGCTTAAAAATACCCATACATTTGTATTTATACCATTGCCATGACATGCTCTGCAGTAATAATCATTACAGGCAGCAATCTGAAAATTATTCAAAAAAGAGTGTTGGGTTTATACAAAAAGTCCCTTTGATTAAAGTATAAATATTGACCAGATGACCAAGGAAAGGCCTCTGTTCTTTGAACAGTGTCAACTGATGTTTTATGCCCTCTGTCAAGATAACATACTTGACAGTACAGCATTGAAACTGTTAATAGTTGAAAGTACTAAAAAAAGTAATAAGCATTTGATGGTGCTGCTAAAATGAACTATTGCAAGATATGGTATTTGTGTTGAGGTGCAACATTATATTGCCTAATGGCATTTGAAAGGCTGAATGTCAATACATCTCTTCTACTGATAATACTCGGCCCAGGGAGGAGTTATTAAGTATTAGAATATGCACTCAGGTTTTAATAGGAAAATATTGACAATAAAATTTGCATTTTAAAAGAATGCCCTTGAAATTTTGAATGCAAAGATCAAAAATATCAAAAATCAACATCATTGTGCAAGAAGATACATGACATGCCCTGTAAGTATATGGTAAACTATAGTTTTACACATTTTTTTTAAAAAAGCTACGCACAATGCTTAATCCACTAGACAGGTGCCATGTTGTCACATATTGTATGATATTACTTGGCAGAAAGTACACAATGAACACAAAGATGAGATTGAGATTGAGATTTTATGGCTATAATGCCATGTTGGAGTGAGACACTTGAACAAAACACTTGCGCTTCAACCTTGTGCTCAAGGGCACCTTTAGAATCCTTCCACGATTATTGCCTTACCGTCATTCCTCTGAATCCACATCTTTTTTGCATTCTAAAAGAAGCCTTTAACATTCATGGCAGTGGAGACACAGACAGAGGCAAAAGGAGAAGCTTCTATAGTACCTGGGTCAGTTGCCAATTTTATTAAGAGTTTACCATTGGATTTCATAGAGCTATACTGGATTTAAATGTTAACTTCGTTTCTCTCTTCATTAATGCTGCCAAACCTGCTGAGTTTCTCTGGCATTTTGTTTTTATTTCTACCATAGGAATTGAAGGGATTGTTGAAAAGTAATGACAATAGGAATATAATCATAACATTGACTTTTGCAGTTAGTCTTCCAAATTAAACTATGTGAAAGTTAAGACCTATAGACCCATAATTTAGATAAGTTTCACAGAATTTACAGAACTGTTACAGTGAAGGTAGAGGCCGTTCAGCCCATTATGTTTGGGCCAGCTTGCCGAGTCAGCATCTCAGTGTCACGCTTCTGTCTTTACCCCCAATAACCTTGAATATTGTTCCATTTCAAATAGCCATCTAATTCCCTTTTGGAAGCCTTGATCAACCCGCTTCCTCCAGACTCTCTTGCTGTGCATTCCAGACCCAACCCACACACTGCATGAATAAGTTTTCCCTTGTATCACTTTTGGCTTTTTTACTGTTACTTGAAATCTATTACTGAAATTCTTGATTTTTTTTAAGAGTGGGAATATTTTCTCCTTATTTACTAAAATTTCCATCCTTCTCTCAAGGCTTCAAATACTTCTGTAAGATTTCCTCTGCCTTTTCTTCCTTGAAGGCTAGTGGCCCCAACTTCTGCAATCCATCTTCATAACTGAAATTATCCCTGGAATCATTCTCAAAAATCTCTCCTATAGTCTTTCCAATTACTTCACACCCTAAGGTGTGGGCGCCCAGAACTGGAAGTAATGCTTCAGCTGAGACTAGCATGTTAAAGAAGTTGAACACAATCATTGCCAGTGCTTCCTTGCTCTATTGGCCTTATCAATAAAGATTCATATTTCAATAAAGATTCTTAGGACACTGAATACTTTATTAACTGCTCACCTGACACACCTGCCATCTTTAATGAGTTCTGTACATTTACACCTAGGTCCCTCTGTCCTCCATTCCCTTTAGAGGTGCATCCTTCATTCTATATTGCCTCTCCATGGCTCTCCTACCAAAATGCATCACCTCCCATGTCTTTAGATTGAACATCAGCCACTTATCTGCCCACTCCATCAAATTACAAATGACCTCTTGAAGTTTTACACAATCCTCCAAGTTTTGTACCATTCACAAAATTTGAAATTGTGCTCTGTACAACAAGGTCTAGATCATTATGATGTGAGAAAAAGCAGCAGTCTCAACACTGACCCTTTGGGAACTCCACTACAGACTTTTCTCCAGCCTGAAAAAACATGTGTTAAACATTATTCTGTTTCCTATCACTCAACTGAATTTGTGTCCATGTCACTACTATTGCTTTTATTTTGTGATCTCTAATTCACTTACATACCTGGAGTGTGACACTGTATTATGCACACCAATGGTATCACCCTCATCAACCCTGTTATCTCCTCAAACAATTCTAGTCTGTAGTCAAATATAACTTTCCATTAAGAAAATATTCGCACTCCTGAAAATATCATGAACAAGAAAGGGAAGATTTAATACAATGGGAAATAACCAAAATTGATTAGAGGAAAACTTGCTTCACACAGGATATGGTTAGGGTCTGAAAAGCACTGCAGGGAGTTTTGAGGAGGCAGGTTCAATTGAGGCAAAGGGAAATTAGATGGCTATTTGAAAGGAACAATGTCCAAAGGTTTGGGGGAAAACAGAGGAGAATCGTACAAAGTGAGATGCTCATCTGAATTCTGACCCATACACGGTCAGGATGGCCTCCTTACTGGTTCTCCTTAATTAACCTGTAATTATCCATGTGACTATTAATTTCGCCTGAATTATTGTTTCCAGAGGGGTCCCCACCACCACCACAAGTTTACTAACTGTTCTGTAGTTGCTTGGGTTCATTGTAATATCTTGAAAAAGGACATGACATTTGCAATTTGTTTGCAGTCCTCTGGCACCACTCCAAGTGTAAGGAAGATTGAAAAATTGTCAGCGCCTCTAATTTCCATTCTCACTTCCCTCAGTACTCTGCCTTTTATACTAACACTATCCTGATCTATATTCAGATAATTAAAGTTGGAGAAAGAAAATTCCACTACACATCCACATTTGATGTGGTAATAGTTCCAGAAATGCTTCTTGGAGAATGAAGTGATTTGTAAGTTCAAAAAAATGAAAGACAAAGACAGTTTACAGCTATGAATTCTGAACGACAATTCTTTTTAAAATGACTGCCAGGTTTTTTCCTGGTATCTGAATGAGGATACTTTACACCTAAGATTATTCATCACTCACTCAAAAGTGTGGCAAATCGCTGACATGTGAAAGCGAAGGGTAAAATAGAATGTTTCATTTCATTCACTGAAACTTTTTATGACAGTAGGTTGAGAAATCTTCCTACAGAGTAGGATGGGAAGAAGGGAAAACTATTCATGATTTTTGTGCAATCACTTTTTTTGATCTGATCAAGTTTGCAGAAAACAAGACTATAATTTAGCTGCCCGGCTTTCACAATTCTCTACGGTTGAAGATGTATCTTAATTTAACCATTTTTGAATGAAAGTAGTCTTTTAAATGGACCAACTCAGGAAACAGACTGGTTCTAATTCAATCCTTTACAATTTGTGGGTGAAAAGCATAAGCAAAGTAATTATAGTCAGATCCTTAGTCTATACTGCAATACCCAGACAGCCCCCATCACTGGTGGGTTTAGAATTTTTAATTTTAAACCAGAGTCTGACTTACAACTTTTTCACAATTTCAAATGTGCCATTATTTAATTTTGATTCACTTGAACAACCCCAGTTCAGCTTACTGCTGAATAGGAGGTCATTGCAGAAAAGTCTGTCCCACCATGAGAAAATCCACAGCTATTAGAACAAGACCCCCAGACCATTCAGACACTGGTTGACCAGTGCTAGAAAGGCTGTGGTTATCAGCAAGATAACAGATATTTTCCCATGTTCAGACAAGACACACCTCTGGAGCAGGTAGGACTTGAACCTACACTTCCTGACCAGAGGTAAGGGGAGTACCACTGCTCAAGAGCCAGAACCCTATGCTGCCCAAAGTGAGGCTGATTAGCTAACTCCTATACAAACATGAATGTTGATCAGCCACACAATTAGAATTTACCCTCCATCACTCTTAGGTTTATGTTATAATTACTACAACACACAATCATTTGAATTTCAAAGACAACAAAAAAAAGAGAAAATACATCTTTGACATGATCCATCTCCAGGAAACAAGATCACACCCATGCTCAGGAAATGTTCTTACCTCCGTAACTGGCAACTCAAGCTGAACCACATCATCTTGCTTCGAGACAGGGGTCTGTAGTGCTGTATCAAGCAGCAAGATGCCATTCAAATCTTTTCTACATCCAACTGCATAGTCATCCACAAAGACAACTTTATCCACTGCTGGAAAGTACTGACACCTCACCTGACCTCCTGGTTTGGCTGAAAAAAAAGACAAAAAACTGATTCAATTTTTATGAACTGACATTTTCATGATAAACATAACAGTAAAATTTTAGTAGTTACTAATCCACGATCTCTGTTCAGTAGATGCTGCAAACTAATGTTCAGATTGATCTAAAAGACTAATACAGATGAAAAGGCCATTCATTCCATGTAACTGCTTAACCCAACCACTGCCATCCTCCAATTGAGGAAATATTTTAGACAGACAGTTCAGACATTAAACATCAATCAAGTTGACACAAACCTAAAACTAAAAACTTTCTCATCTGATGGAACTGGAGTCTGCTCTGCTCTTCTCTTCTGAACAACAGCACTATTTGCACCAGAATATCAATTTTCAATTGAACATAGCAACCATTTGCGCGTAGCTAATTTGTACAAATCTGACAAAAACTCTAACTGAGTGTAACACCTATTTTGCACAAAGCAAAACTAGAAGCATTTTCAGTTAGGGATCTAAAGATGTTTTGAAGTTGACAAGATTTGTAAAGAAAGGGGTCTCTCAATTACAATAAAACAAAAAGAGGCAGAGTAAGACAGAAGTGACTTACTGTGGAATTCACAAGTTTTTGGTAAAGGAGAAGATGCGAGCAATGATGGCATGTCCAGTAGGCGATTGCCTAGTGGTATTATCACTAGACTATTAATCGAGAAACCCAGCTGATGTTCTGGGGACCCAGGTTCAAATCCCACCACAGCAGATAGTGGAACTGGAATTCCAGAAAGGAGTCTGAAATCATTGCTAATTGTCGGAAAAAACCCATCTGGTTCGCTAATGTCCTTCAGGGGAGGAAAACAGCCACCATCACCTGGTCTGGCCTACATGTGACTTAAGACCCACAGCAATGTCATTGACTCTCAACTGCCCTCTGAAATGGCCTAGCAAGCCACTCAGTTGTACCAATCGCTACAAAGACTCAAAGAAATCAAACTGGATGGATCACCTGGCATCGACCTAGGCACGGAAAAGACAACGGCAGAAACAGCCCTGTCGACCATGCAAAGTTCTCCTCACTAACATCTGGGGGTTAGTGCCAAAATTGGGAGAGCTGTCTCACAGACTAGTCAAGCAACAACCTGACATGGTGATACTCACAGAATCATACCTTACAAACAATATCCCAGACACCACCATCATCACCATCCCTGGATATGTCCTATCTCACCAGCAGGACAGATACAGCAGAGGAGGTGGCACAGCAGTATACAATCGGGAAGGTGTTGCTCTAGGAGTCCTCAACATTGACTCCAGATCCCATGAAGTCTCATGGCTTCAAGTTAAACATGGCCAAGGAAAACTCCTGCTGATTACCATGTACCATCCTCCCTCAGCTGATGAATCAGTATCCTCAATGTTGAGCAACACTTAGGAGGAAGCACTGAAGATGGCAAGGGCACAAAATGTACTCTGGGTGGGGGATTTCAATGTCCACCACCAAGAGTGGCTCAGCAGCAGTACTACTGATTGAGCTGGTCGGGTCCTAAAGGACATAGCTGCTAGACTGGGTCTGCGGCAGGTGGTGAGGGAACGAACAAGAGGGAAAAACATACTTGACCTCATCCTTACCAAACTGCCAGCTGCAGTTGCATCTGTACATGACAGTATCGGTAAGAGTGACCATCGCACAGTCCTTGTGGAGATGAAGTCCCGCCTTCACATTGAGAACAACCTCCATCGTGTTGTGTGGCACTATCACCGTGCTAAATGGGACAGACTTCGAACAGATCTAGCAACTCAAGACTGGGCATCCATGAGGCACTGTGGGCCATCAACAGCAGCAGAATTGTACTCCAGCACAATCTGTAACCTCAAGGCCCAGCATATCCCCCACTCAACCATCATCATCAAGCCAGGGGATCAACTCTTTATTGAACTAGAGTGCAGGAGAGCATGCCAGGAGCAGCACCAGGCATAAAACTGAAGATGAGGTATCAACCTGGTGAAGCCACCAAACAGGACTACTTGCACACCAAACAGCGAAAGCAGCAAGTGATAGACAGAGCTAAGCGATCCCACAACCAACGGATCAGATCTAAGCTCTGCAGTCCTGCCATATCCAGTCGTGAATGGTGGTGGATAATTAAACAGCTCACCAAAGGAGGAGGCTCCACAAATATCCCCATCCTCAATGATGGAAGAGCCAGCACATCAGTGCAAAAGATAAGGCTAAAGCATTCGCAGCGATCTTCTGCCAGAAGTGCCGAGTGGATGATCCATCTCGGCCTCCTTCAGTGGTCCCCAGCATTACAGACACAAGGCTTCAGTCAATTCGATTCACTCCACGTGATATCAAGAAACGGATGGCAACACTGGATACTGCAAAGGTTACCAGCCCTGACAACATTCCAGCAATAGTACTGAAGATTTGTGCTCCAGAACTTGCTGCTCCCCTAGCCAAGCTGTTCCAGTACAGTTACAACACTGGTATCTACCCAACAAAGTGAAAATTGCCCAACTATGTCCTGTACACAAAAAGCAGGACAAATCCAACCCAACCAATTACCGCCCCAGTCTACTCTCAATCATCAGTAAAGCGATGGAAGGTGTCATCAATAATGCTATCAAGCAGCACCTGCTCAGTGATGCCCAGTTTGGGTTCCACTAGGGCCACTCAGCTCCTGATCTCATGGTTCAAACAGAGACAAAAGAGCTGAATTCCAGAGATGAGGTGAGAGTGACAGCCCTTGATATCAAGGCTGCATTCGATCGAGTGTGGCATCAAGGAGCCCTAGCAAAACTGGAATCAACATGTATCAGGGGGCAAAGGCTCCGGTGGTTGGAGTCATACCTGACACATAGGAAGATGATCGTGGTTGTGGGAGGTCAATCATCTCAGCTCCAGGACATCTCTGCAGGATTTCCTCAGGATAGTGTCCTAGGCCCAACCATCTTCAGCTGCTTCATCATAAGGTTAGAAGTGGGGATATTCGCCGATGATTGCACAATGTTCAGCACCATTCGTGACTCCTCAGATACTGAAGATGTCCATGTTCACATGCAACAAGATCTGGACAATATCCAGGCTTGGGCCGACAAGTGGCAAGTGACATTCGTGCCACACAAATGCCAGGCTATGACCATCACCAGAGACAATCTAACCACCGCCCCTTGACATTCAATGGTGTTACCATCACTGAATCCCCCACTATCAACATCCTGGGGGTTACCACTGACAAGAAATTCAACTGGACTCACCACATTAACAGAGTGGCTACAAGAGCAGGCTAGAAACTAGGAATACTGCAGCGAGTAACTCACCTCCTGACTCCTCAAAGCCTGTCCACCATCTACAAGGCACAAGTCAGGAGTGTGATGGAATACTCCCTACTTGCCTGGATGGGTGCAACCCCAACAACACTCAAGAAGCTTGACACCATCCAAGACAAAACAGCCCACTTGATTGGCACCACATCCACAAGCATTCACTCCCTCCATCACTGATGCTCAGTAGCAGCAGTGTGTACTGTCTACAAGATGCACTGCAGAAATTCACCAAAGATCTTCAGACAGCACCTTTCAAACCCACAACCACTTCCATCTAGAAGGACAAGGGCAGCAGATATTTGGGAACACCACCACCTTCAAGTTCCTCTCCAAGTCACTCACCATCCTGACTTGGAAATATATCATCGTTCCTTTATTGTCGCTGGGTCAAAATCCTGGAATTCCCTCCCTGATAGCATTGTGGGTCAACTCACAGTAGGAGGACTGCAGCGGTTCAAGAAGGCAGCTCACCACCACCACCTTCTCAAGGGCAACTAGGGATGAGCAAGAAATGCTGGCCGGCCAGCGACACCCACATTCCACAAACGAATAGAAAAAAACATTTATTGTTGATGATGAACCCACGATACAGCATACACATTTGAGTAGATATCAGTCTCAGTTTTACTGGAACAATTAGCCAAGTAGGATGACAGGTTTCTACACCACAGTGCTGATGTTGTCAGGTCTAATAATCGTGGCCATGTCCAATTCACTTGGCCACTTCTTAATGTCACATGAAGTAAACAAATTTAACTTAATGGTGACCTTCATAACTATGAGAATTTCAGAAGGCAGAGAGGCATTGTCCATTTGGCACTTTGAACACTCTTCACTTCAGTCCAGTCTCAAACATTCATGCTTTGCAATCCCAGAAAAGCACTGCAAAGCTCACCTCAAAACAAGTGCTACATCTCAAAAACAAAGCTTTTTATCTTTGCTCCAATACAGCTCCTTCAAGAAAGCAAGGCTTGCCAAACAATGGTTCAGAACACTTTCACCAATTAACGCACCTGACCGATCCATCCATGTGACGGCAGGAACAAAACAAAAGCAAAATAACAAGGTCAAACATTCCTCCAAACATGTTGTTGTCTACATGACCAAAGTCAAAATTTTTACCCTCAAAATGAAGAATAAATGTTATATTTAAACCGACCAAATACAGAGATATGCATACAGTTATACTGAATTTATCACTTGACTAGCTGGCTGATCAGGCAAACATAAAGCAGATTCAATCTTTAGACCATTCTATATCAAGCTGCATATGCTATTTGTTTTCACTGTGTGAATGGACTAATTTGGATGTTAACTTCTCTCAAAAGCTGCATTAACTCAATTCTGCACCAGTGCACACTTCCACGGAGTTCTTCTTTTCAATTACGTGGGCAGTCAAAAATGGGAACAGGCAGAGGTTTACTGTACTAGATCATAACTACATTCACTCCATATTGGGGAGCCAGAAAAATATACATGCAAGTAGCTTGTCAGGATTGGTAGCTACAAGGGAAAAAAGCTTTGAGGATGACAGATGTAAAAGTATAAACATTCACTGGTTGAGAAGTCAGACCCATCTGGAAATCTGCATTCTGTGTTGGGGCACTGAACCTCACAGAAAATATACTAACCTTGGAGAAGACAACAGTATGGATTTACCAGAATATTGTCAAATTCAAGGACTGACTCACGAGAAACAATAGCATAAAAT